GCAGGGATTGCTTATGTTAAGTAATAAAGTGTTGATAAAAATAGTTATGTGAATAGTATAACTCCATGATTTGCGTATATTTAGGCTCAGTCGATTGTAATCTAGTATTGTGGCCTGTGTATGATACATTTATTTAATTTCGGTAAATGGCATAAGTCCTTGTGAGTTGCATATGTGTTGAACGTAAAATATTCCCTTCTGATACCAGTAATTGATTATGAAATCTGGGTATTTGAACTTATCATTCAGCCCAAGTGGTTGTGTTAATTCCTAATGTATTTTGAAGCATGCATCCAGAGTGTCTTTCCATTAAGGATTGTCAACCTGATTTTTTAAAAGTCCACCCTCTTGGGTATTTCCACATTAGATTCATTCTTTTAATCTTATCCTTCCTATTATTCCATTTAAATCTAATAAATACTTCGTTTATCTCTTTAATAAATGATGTAGGAGAGTTTGGAAGAGACATTGGAACGTGATCATGAACTTGTGTTGAATAGAACGTACAAGTTTATGGATAACAACTTCTGGTTTATTGCATATAGCGACGTTTCCATGTAGATTCTTACACCGCCATCAAGCTCCACCATAAAGTTCGACGTTTTTCTTGCTTATTTGCCAATTTCTAGAATGCCTATAAAGCATTTATAAACTTTTGGGTTTTTTGCCAATTAAGTTACGTTTCGTTTTCTCCAATTTCTGATGTTTACCACCAAAAGACCTGTTAAATGTGAACTAAGTTTAATTCCTAATACTTCAAAATAAATCTCTAAAAAATCTGTAAAAAGTGTTTCACGTGTTCATATCTTCGTTAAGAGAGGCATCAGAGCCTTCTAGAAATATGTCTGTATCGTCGGCATATTGTCGCTGTTTAAGTATTGTTTTATTTAAGGTAATCCCATGTACATTGTAATTTGAGCTTATCGTAATACCTAATATCTTAGCTACAAAAAAATAAGGTGGCAGTGGATCTTCTTTTCTACAGCCCCTTTCGTTTTCAGAAAAAGTTGACAGGTGTCCATTTTGTATAATACAAGAGGTGGCATTTGATATTATAACCGAATTTAATGTTATCTAACACCAACATTATGATACGCTTGAAAAGTGAATCGAACGCTTTTTCGGGGTTTATTTGTAGGAACAAACCTCGCTTCTTTTTCCTTTAACTTTCAAACAAAATATCATACAATAGTCTAATATGTTTTACATATGCATCAACCGAAAATAAATCCGACCTGATTATCATGAATTAGAACATTTAAGGTTTGTTTCATTCTATTTGTTCTGCAAGCATTTAATAGCGATATGGGTCGCCAGTTTTTCAGCAGGCGTCTGTATTTATTTGGCTTCGGGATACATGTAATAACTCCTCTGTTAATGATTATCGAAATAGAATTACTTTTGGAGGTTTCTCTGATGTATCTGTAATATCCATTTTCAGTCTGTTTTCCGACACCTGTACCATATTCTCTACTGTCGCCATTTTCTACCGAGTCAATCGTTGAGACAAATGTTCAAATTTGCATTATCAGTAAAAAGTAGAAAGTCGTCCAAATATATCTCACAGATAATAGTTGACCTTGTGTGTAACATCCAGTGTTCACTGGTGTAATTTATGCTTCCTGTTTGACTGACTATTCTAAGTATAAGGGTCAGTTTGTATTTGACAGGAGGGCGCCATATTGCTTTCTCTGAAAAACTGGAGTTTTTAAAATGAAATGAGAGTGACATAATCTGGACATGTTTTATCCAATCGCCTGTCATATTCTGTGACTTAGTCATGTTTCTTAATGTAGATAATCCATGCAATTTGTTCATTGTTTTAAAAGAGCTTAAAAATGTTTAAGGGAAATATATCTCCTTTCACTAAAGTTAACCGGTATACATTTTGTAAGAATAAACTATTGTGCATTGAGCGATTATCTCCTTTAGCTATAGGCGTAGTATAGAGCTTTATCACGCGTGACCTTGCAATGCAGTACATCGTATCTTATTCAAGTTGTATCACTGAGAGTGAGTGATTATCTCCCTTACCCGAATAGCTCCATTGCGCACTACCTTTGCAATGTATCGTATGTTATTCAGGCAGCATGGCATCAACACGATTAAATACTACTTCTATAAATCATGACTTTGTTTTAAAAATAACACATGTAAAACAACGGGTTTGATATGAGAAATGTCTAATTAGTTTTCTTCATAATCACATGTATGGTGCTTGCTGCGCTTGGTTGAGCACAGTTTCAAGTAGTTCACTGTATGTAAAGTATGGTTTATTGTATTGACAGTTGTGTTAACTTCCGGCAGAGATTATACACCCGTATAAGTTCTTTGCTTCTGGAGACATTGGAAATAAACAGGTTGGTATGTAGTTTGCAATTATTGTCATAAAAAAAATACGGTTGCATGTTATATTCACGATGTTTGTGTTGAACACAGTAACTTTCTTCTACACATACTTCAAACCCGAAGTAATCACAACACAAACCCCGTTAACCAAACGGAACCATACACATGAGTAATGAGTGAGTGAGTTGGGTTTAACGCCGCTTTAAATAGTATTCCACTTATATCACTGCGTGTCAGTTTTATGTTGGAGGAAAGCCCGCAGTGAGAGCCACGAGCACGGGTATAGTGCTGACTACATAATTAGGCGAACCAGGATTATATTCGAACACACTGTTATAGGTTTCTTGCGTGCCCAAGGGGCACAACTCTGCATAGGGAATTGCAGCGCCTTAGGCGATTAGGCCAACCGCGCCCCCGTACACAACTGTAAGAAACTATAATACAACAAAGATGTTTTCGATGAGATATGTATTGCGTAACATTCCATGAAGAAACAGTGGCAGTATTACACTAACTACACTATAACAAACTGCAAAATATATCCACAATAAGACCAAAACACACAGGTACATTCAACATACAAAGAAGCTACATTATGGTACAGTTTATTGTAAAACAAGTGTATTATAATGATTTAGAAACGATATGAGAATTGGGCAAAAGTATGGTATTGTTGTACATACATGAAATTGTTTTAGAATTGTAGATATGATAACAGATCTTGGAAATTGTTTCTGAATAACTGTTGTTAAAAATTATTGAGAACTGTTCCTTTTAACAGAGTGTACCAAATTCTTTATCATGATTGAGGATTATTTGTGTTTCTCTTTCTTGGTCTGTATTTGATGCAAGACAGTGCATTATGTTGCTCATCTTCTAAGACGTCACATGTTTCACAGAGACGTTGTTCCAATGGGTTTAGGTTTTTTTGTATATCCACCAGTTTCACTTTTTAGTTTGTGATTACTTAAACGACGTTTTGAGAAATGTGACCTTTGACCTTGTTTTTACAGTATGTAAAATAATTCTCAATATTCATAGATCACTTAACCAACCTGTTCTTGACTTGCTGTTGGATGATTGGAAATCCCTTAATGAATGCGTGAACATATTTTGAAATTTGGATTGAAGTTTATTTCAATGGATGCATTTATTTGTGTTTACTATTTCAAAATTTTGTTTTATTTAACCCAGCCACCATTTTGAAAAGAAAGAGTAATATTTGCTGCCAAAGCATGTTTAAGAATGACATTGGTTGTGTTATCTATACAGGACTTGTAGTCAATTATTTTTTTATATTATTGGTACTTATAGTGGGTATGTACCAAGTTCTGTCTGAGGCCCAGGCCCAGTTACGTGTTTTCTTGCCTTGACGTCTTTAAGCTGACCATTTAAAGACATTGCTTCTTTTATTGTGCTTTCAAAAGATAACTACATTAACAACAACCAATTTGAACTTTACACTAATCCTATCCTCCTAGTCCTTACACTCCCTTCCTCTGCATATATGGCGGGGAACAATTGATGCACTGAAGCAATCTCCAATTGTTTGGATATAACCATTGGTAGGAGAGAGCTCGCGAAACACGTCAACGGGTATTCATGCGCCACCGAAAGTCAAAAGCTTAGGAAGTTATTTAATTGCATATCTTGTATTTTGTCATATATATAGATAGTATGTTGACAACATGGTAAACAATCTGGATGACGATCTTTCTCCTCGACTGGGGTTTTATTTCATTCACGTGATATGAGTGTTGTGAGTAAAACCCAAAAGTGGGAGGAAGATATGGGTGGGTGGTATGTACACATCTGACTACGTCACTTGACAACAAATAATAATATTTAATTATGATTATACTTATAGTTACACAGAAGAATGTACATCTGCTTCTGCAGCAGAGGAGAATATTCTATCCAATCCTATACAGGGTGACAAATATTTCAATTATTAGGTGTTTATCACAAGTATTTTAGTCCATTTAACACTCTGTCAGAGCGCATTTTCGCATTAACCTATTTTCTCACTTCCGTATGATAACAGTTAATCGATAAAGAAAGCTGGTGTATATATCTAGTAGGTCTTCATGTCGATCAGACAGATTCTAAAACATTCCAGAACAGGGCTGGCATTGGATGTCCACAAGATCTACATGCTCTATCCACGTTGCTGATCCGACAGTAGAAGGTCAAAACTCATAAAACGAAATTCAAGTTTACACACCAGATGTATAAAATTAATTCCTTTTCACACACATCGACACATGCATTAGCCAATAAAACAGCTATCTGAATGACATATGTGCGCAATGGCTAATGAACACGAAGGGGCTGACGCCTGCTCGATTCCAAAAGGAACTATTTGTTGAAACGTTCGGAAACACATTTGTTTGAATAAGCTAGAAATATTTACACATGAAACACCAAAGATGGCCAAGTGGTAATCGCACCGCAGTGTTTTGTGATAAGTGTTTGCGCATGCTGTCATGAAAGATTCCGTGGAATGACATGAATTATTAGTGAGGATGAAATTAGCTAACCACGCAACATCGGGTAGAAATTAATCTCTCGTTTAGTTTACGATGAAACTTGACAATTCACCTATCTCAAACCCGTTTGGATTCCGGCGCATAAATGTCGAAAGAGGTTACCTGTTCATGTATCGTTTTGGTAGACTTGGTGTCACACCGCGACAGTGTGGGGCGATGCTCACGATATCACCCGATTCGTGGGGATTCCGGGCTGCTCCTCAGCAACCTATGATGATCACAGGACGAGAGTTAATGGATCGGACGGTGTGTCTCAGTGATGGCAGGATGATATCTGTACGGCATGGATCTTTGCTCATAATATGAACAACGCTATATCACAGCCACCAGCAAACAATCGAGTCTGGGACAGGCAAACCAAAGGCTGATGGCAAGAGCAGCAATTCAAAACATTGTACAGGATTATGCAAAGAGATTACACATTATACCGAATAGTCATTAATATGTAACACATAATGGGGTTATGGGAGCTATTTTTATCTGGAATTTCCCAAAGAGGTATTGTTATAGACCTGAAATATTTGTTGCTTATTATTGTGATATGCATCTCGTGAACAACAACTAATTCATGAGTACCACTACCACACCTGTGTAACTAAGCAGTTACATCACGGGTGTGGTAGTGAAGGTTATAATAACAGGGGTATAACATGGATTCAAATCTACAACCACCAGATCCTGGCTTTATACGAAATCAGTACAGAAGTGAACATCGCTAAGAATGTATACGTGTATTATGTGGTTCCTCCCTGATACCATATGACTATGTTGCAATGACCCATTGTTTTAATGCTGAGATTGACAGTAATCACATCATGATATTTGTTTGATGCTGAGATTGACAGTAATCACATCCTGATATTTGTTTACATTTGTTTGTTCTCTATGTCGTAACTGTTTCTGTGTTGTGTGTTGATTTTGGGTCGTGTGTCAAAATAATGTTATATCTTATGGCTGTACTAATCCATTATCATGTACCCTTTGAAATTCAAATCCTCTTGGCGTGCAAGAAACTTATGGTCGTGGGTTCGAATTCCAGATTCGCTCTGATAATCTGTCTAGGTTTGTCCAGGCATATCTCGATACGATGGCAAGGAAAGTGTGATAGTTAAGTTGTAGAGTTGGTAAGAAATGTGTTTGTCTACAAAACACAATAACAATAACGGATAAATGGTTGATGAACGAATTCGCGTTGATGAATTCCTGTTATTACTCGTCATTCCAAGACGATGAAGACGAATGCACCCCATCCTGTATCATGTTCTATGTGTTCAAGGTCGTGGCTATAGACTGACGATAGCTGTACATGACTGAGGTCAGAATATGAGGGCAAAATGTTCAGTGGTGTTTATATTCCCCAGTTTGTGAACTAGAAAAGTGTAGCAGCTTGCATTACATGCGAAGCAGCGGAAATCCTTTGACTACTCTCTTCCCTGTTCCCGATCCACCAAGGAGCTTATGCGCGCCAGAAACCTATGATCACGGGTTTGAATCCCCGTTCGTCCCGATTATGATTCTAGGTTTGTCAGCACCATCCCGTGCTCGCGGTAAACGTCTGAGACCTGCATCACTTTGGGCTTTCCTCCCACATTAAGCTGACACGCCGTGATATAACTGGAATACTGTCCAAAGCGGCGTTAAACCCAATTTCCCCACTCACTCCAACAAGGGGGAAAACTAGGGTGTCGATTAGATGAATACTAACATAAACATCTGATGCGATCCCAAGTAAGTTCAACATACATTAGCATTGACATCTTTGTAGAAAGATTAACACCGTGTAACTGAATTGGATATTGGTGGTTACAAGTTAATCATACAGAGGTCAAACATGAATCCTACCTGTTAAAATATGTGAAACTGTATTGGTTCTTGCAGGACTGGCTTTTGGTTCTGTGACTTACTGAACAGGATTGAATACCGTGTTAATAGTGTCGGTGACAAACTAGTTTACAGAAAAGATTACCCTGGAAATCAATTACAAATCGCGTCTTCATCGCAGTTTGTATGCGTACAAGCCAGTGATCGCAAAACTATAATTGTGTCTCTGCAGAGACTACCGGAGAACGGTCCCTGTCCATTAAGTAAATGCGAACCGGAAACAGGAGCTCAAGTAAGATGCGATTGAAAACCATGGATCGATACAATGACAGCTGGTGACCAAAACGGATTAATAGTCCAGGTAAATACTTAGGCCATTTATGTTGCCAAATGAAGTGCAAAGCGCCTGGTTATCATGAAACATGCATGAGTACAAACTTCGATTGTGATTGAGGCGATATTGTACACTATTTAGTACATTAGCAGATCCGCGGCATTAAACACCCATCCAGCTGGGAAACACAAGGATATTGTTTAGCGTGATTGTAACTGTTTAACACTCCAATTCACAGTCACAGAATAATCACTAAATCAGCTATGTTCTTTCTGTTGTTGTTATTTTCAATAACATTACATTTACACTACATTGTATGATGCACAATTGCTTTTTCCACTAGTCTCTACACAATGTACACTTACGCAATGGACATTAATACTACGTTAGACTACAATCCTAGTGAATACCGGTTTAAAGATTCCATTTAGTACGGAAATAAACAGGAGACATACATTGTGTCCTGTTCACTGTAGTATGAATCCCATGAATTGAATTACTTCTGAAGGTCAATGGGCAGGCGTTGTCTGGCTCCTACCAAACCACCGACATGGTGTCATCATTCATCATTAAAGAAGCCAAGAATTGTAGAGTATTGCCGAGCATGTATTCAGCAATTAATTATTGACATTCGTGTATCTAAATGGGTGTATATAATAACTGAACGGGACCACATATATGCACACTTGAACTACAATATAGAGCATTAGGATTCTGGTGAGAAAAGAATTATTACAAACAAGAGGTAAATGCAGGAGGTTGGAATGCTAATCAGGATAGGACTTCTGTAAACCAAAAAGAAGGCACCGCTCGATCACGGAGAAGCATCACATACTATATGTGAAAGAGAATAGAAAAATTCCAGTGAAGTCCATCGTACATAGTCGCTGCCGATCTGACTACGCCTCAGTGACGTGTCGGAGTTGGGAATCCATGTCGCCATTCAAGTGAAATAATTTGAATGCGACGTTAAACCCCATTTCACCTCACCCTACCTCGAGGACAAAATAATAGATTACAACCGCATCGGATAGCTAAAGAGTAACTAGAAAATTACACAACAAATACACAAACATTACATCAATTTAGTCGTCGAACATGAACATATCAGGATTTATACAATTTCGAACATCTGAACTGAACAATAAATGGCATTTCTTCAAATAAACTGGTTTTATACTGAGCACAGCGTATCATAGAAATATGACAGACAAACTATGAAGCAGGGGACGGATATGATCGAAATTACGGCATCTCCAGACAGATCTCCCTCCGATGGATTGATGGTACTGACTGAGGGCGTCTACGCAATGATGACTGAGACTGAGACGGAGACTGGCTCGCCTAATTGAGTTTAACTTCAGAAAATATTAACTTTACTGAACCGGTAAATCAATTGATGTTACGCAACCTATTTGCTTTGAATTTAGGAAGTATACTCTATTCGTTAGAGGAAAACCAGATCGTCTCCCAGTAACTGTGACACAGAAACAGTCGATTGAAGCAACCCTACACTCCATCTACTGTGATATATTATATCTTTAACCAACCAGAAACGGTATCGGAGGTGTAACTGTGTCTCGCCATCGCGCAAATCTTAGTGAGAGCGTGAATGTGACCACGACAGGGCAGAGCGAATACACACAACTTGCTGGGCTTCATTCGACTGATCGTCAAATTAAAGCTGTCAAGGATACGCATGTATTCAAATGTACACAGTGAAAGTATCTCATAATGGTATGCCGTATTCAGCTTGGTAAAGAATGTGACATTGTGGAAGTAGATATATTTCTTCTTATTTCAATCTCATTGAGCCAAACGACAATGTATTTTAACTGTTTCGCATCCTATTTAATCCACATGGGTCTTTTTCTCTTGAGTTGTCCGTTAAATATATATACATTAATTCGTTAAATTTCATGTACTCAACTTTTGACTAAGTTGATTTGATGTAACGGTCATACGCTCTCCATATACGTGGGCAAACAAAGATGTTCCAATCAATCAGTAAATCAATCTTTCACATGTATTTAATATCACTTAGAGAAACAGGAAAATTACCGTATGCCTAAAACCCATTGCTCAATATAATCTCAACCTTTCTTCAATCAACCTAGATTTACATCGTTTGTTCTTCCCGATGATAAATAGATTATTTAATTGTGTTCAAATTAACTACAAAGGGAACAAGGCTATAGCCAAGAAAAAGAAAAAATACCGTCAAGACACGTATTTATTAACGTCGTAATAAAAGGACACAACATGTTTGTTCTCAATGTCGCTTGGGGGTGTTAAAAATAACACAACACTTGTTATATCCGAGAATTAGTTATCGACCCAGAAAAAGAAATTTGTGATGAAAATGATAATTGTAAGGATCAAGGTAGCATTTGCAGAAAGAAGGTTATTGGGTCCGGTAATGTTTGCGCACGCTTTGGGCATCCATTGATTTCACCCAAACCATCCTGTGGCCGCCTACTTCGAGTCACTATATCATTATGGAAAAGATGCTTTCACGTAGTCATTTCCTTATATGGTAAAACACATATAAACAGATCAATTAAACGTTCAACTGGTTAATGTAAAGGTTGTATTGCCTGACGTAAATCTAGAAATGCCATTGCAGTGGTTCACTGAAACGACAATTCCTTTTCGTGAGGCAGTTAATTGCTTCTTAGCCTCTGTGATTCCCGAAAATCCACAGGGTGAAAATATATTTGTGGTCTTCAGAAAGATTAACCTATTTTCAATACATCTGTTGATTGTCTCGTTTATTCTCATTACCGACTTGACATTGAGAGTTATCCAGCCAATCGATTGACATACGGTACAGCGATTTCATTTCCAGTCACTATCGGTTTTGCATACACAATAAATTCATGTCTCGGGTTAAATGATACTAGTATATGACAGAATGTTATTAGTTAATCGGTAAGAGCCACGTTTCAACAGTCTAAGCTGTATATATGAATTTCCAAAATGTTATCGAATATGTCATAATAGTACATGTATACTGAAAACTATTAAATCCGTATGACATCTACACTCAGTTTGTCGAAGTGAAACAGTCAGAGTGAATTTCAGCCTTTCAGAGTTGTTTTGTTTGTTTGTTGTTTAACGCCGCACTCAACAATATGCCAGCTTTATGACGGTGGTCTGTAAACAATCGAGTCTGGACCAGACAATCCAGTGATTAACATCATGAGCATTGATCCACGCAATAGGGATACGATGACATACATCAACCAAGTCAGCGAGCCTGACCATCCGATCCCTTTAGTCGCCTCTTTAGACAAGCATAGTCATTGGTGTTCTACCCCGGATCTTCACGGGTCAGTTGAGTTAATTACATTTAGTAAAGGTATCTGAAACTTAAAAGTTAAAATATGCGACGTTCTCACAATAAGTTTAGTTGTGCCTTCCAATCAGAGTCAGCGATTACATTGAAGGAGAGCCTCTTGGTTTAATTTCATTTATCACTGTTTTTTTTAAACCAAAGTATATAAATAATAAGGAGCCGATTTCGCCTCGAAATAGTATCCGTAATTGCTGAGTGTGGAAGTTCTGTTTTCGCTTTGTGCCGTTTTGCTGATATGCCGTCTCGGCTATCACCCTTATTGAATGGTTTTTAACTTTTATTTCGAAAACGAAATATTTACTTACTGACTGATGGATGGATTTGCCATATAAATATTGATCGCTATATCATCTGAACTATAAATACGGATCAAGGAATTCAATTAGTTCAACCAAAACCCTAGCTCCGACAGCATACTCAGTCTTGACAACCTGTTGACGGGACATCGTGTAAGACATCAATAGGACATCGGGAATTATTTAGACAATCAAGTAGAGGTCATCCAATGTACCTGCTTCGTCTGACTCCAACTACCGCAACCCAATGATTTTAACAACCAGTTTTAGGGTTTTCACTTGAGCTTATTGTGACGCTTTACATTCACTTGCCCGGCACACACTTTGGGCCGTGTCTTCTCTGTGCATATTTCCATGATTTACACGACATCGCTATTGATCCAGTCAGCATCTCATTCTTGTGAAAGTGCGGGAGGATCACCTGCCTTGTCCCTTATGCCTTATACACCCGTGTTTATAGTTTGGAACAAGTTTAATGGGTAGTGATAATCCAAGTGATGGGTCTTGTCACTGTTAGATAATGATGTGCACTGGAAACACCATTCGAGATGTTCATACTGACCTGCATTTATCTACTTTCTATTGTTCTATCTCAATCTCTTGTCTCATTGTACTCCTGGCGTTGTGTGAGAAACCATTTCCGATTGAAAGATAAGATGAGATCAAGCGCTGACCTCGCTTTGTCTTTGAAAACGCCTTGTCTAAGAAAAATAATCAGATCAGTATTCACTGCAGGCCCTTTAAGATGTTACGTATGTGTGACCGAGAAAGGATTGCTTCATTTCGCTTCGAGTTCACTCGAATCATTTGTTCCCACGTATTTTTTTGTAATTTCTTTCGACTGTACTCTTTTTAAAATGTCAATATCAATGACATTTTCGTATGAATAACGTTAATGGATTTAATTCGTGTTTTCAAAGTTAAAGATTATTTCTGGATAGATTAAACAAGCATGTGATGATCGTAAAAGACAAAGCAAAACAAGACCAAACATGATAACAGAACTACATTAACTCATGTGATTCATCATATTTCTATAAATGCATGGGCACTTTATTATGACTTTAATGGGAATATATTATGCAAATTTAATCACAAAAAATACGTTAAGAAGTAAACGATATACCTGTATTCCATTTATTTATTTAATCATTAAGGCATGATTCATGCAAGGAGCTTTTCCATATACTCTAAGGATAGGACATTTAGGCAAGAAAACAAGGTAGAGTTTTAAACTCTTGACAGGGCGATTGTGACCATTAAATCTTGTTTGATACGTCCAAGGCTGTTTTCCCTTCTCGCGATAGTCAACGCTATGATTTGTTTCATCAGACCCATTGCAAGAAACTATAACACCAATCGATAATATTGATGTGGATGCGCCATCTTGATTGACAGGCATAATAGAACAATGTTACCAAGGATACGTTTGATCATGGGGGAGGTAATTTGAACAATGTCATGTCGTCAAACTATTGCGACGTTGCTCAAAGAGTGTACTTTATCGCATGATAAAGTACTGTCGACCCCACTGATCTTTTAACTGAGCAACTTAGAAATAAAGATTGAGGGTCACAACAAACATTCCACAAGCTAGTTTGACAAGTGGGATGATTACACCTATTCAATAGTCAGATTTTCCTTTTATGCCGAGCAATATTTAGTGTATACATTTCACAACTTTTGATGTACGATTGAGCACGCTTTTCTACGAAGATTTTTAACATCATGCAACTCTTGATCGCGAAGTTGTTTGAACTAGGTAACTGTATTCAAGGCCTCAGTAAAGATTTCAAAAAGGTTTATGGTAGATATGTACAGGACATTTCCAAATTTTGACTCATCAGTGACTAAATTTATGTCCGATGCAATTTCCTATTTTGACTTGCACCATGTGTCCCCGTCTTTTCCGGGCGATACGCGAACACCTGGTATCATCAGTATTAGATAGTGGTTCACACACTTATGTTTGTGATATAGTCGGAATTTACATCGGATAATAGTATAACATGAATACCTGTATATTGACATGCAACCCACTACTGATTTAAAGTCTATCTGAACATCTGATCATTCGCAATGAGAGGTCAATACTGTGGGGAAGTTCACAGGTGGCTGTCTTAATATCTTATCTATGTGACAACAGGGAGGGGCATTTTTTGGCGTTGATAGATATCGACAAAGAAGCGTTCAGTACATAACAGCTCATCTAATACAGTCACATCTGTATTTGTCACATTAGAAAATTGGAATTCTCTGTCTCATTGTACAGACTCATGTATCTATAACGACAGTTGACAATCATGTCATCATGTCATAAATTCATTTCCCAGAACATGAATGACCACACCATGAAAACTAAGGCTACACTTGTGCATCACCATGGATCTGTATACAGTGGTGCTGAAGTAGCAGCTGTAACAAGCAGATGCTGTTTTACCAGGGAGATCAGCAATTTCATACCGACCAAAAGCAACAACATTTGCACCTGGAAGTCACCTGCTGACATACACATCATACATGTAGTGTTTTGAAACAAAACGGATGCATTCCTTTTCTTTACCAGCTCTCGTACCATGGAACACAGAAAAACATTATCAACCAGCCTTTCTTTAATAAAGTATTGCATAGAATACACACTGAGAATAGAATAATAAGATAAGTACATACCATGTTAGGAAGCCAATAAATATTCCCAAGCAAAACTAAGACCACGGTAATTTCTTCCGGTATCGGCGACAATCAGACTACAGACTGTGATATCAGCCCAAGATGGTTCTGCGCATATGCGTGTTAGGCTTGCCGTGTGGTTGAGTATCGAAGGAAAGCTTGAGATAATGAAGCTACAGAGGCTTACGTCCTGGGCGAGGCGTGTGCAGTACTGGCCTGCAGACTGCCCACCAATGGCTGAGTAGCTTAATCTTACCTCATGGGCACGACCATATGACAATGTGGACATGATGAATAGTCATGCTTTAAATGAATTTCCGGTTATGCGTCATTTTATCAGACCACTTTAAAGACGCATGGACAGCGAATGGAGGCATACCACATGTGACATGACTGTGTAATTCTGAGAGTGTGCAACATCGCTCCCTAGTTTTCACAAACATTTGTACTGATTACATACTCATGTACAGCCAATATGAATAATTTCCCGGGTGACACTCTCACGGGCTAAGTATGTACGATAGTTCACTTTGGCAGTGGGCTAAATGAAGGCGTTACAATCAATACATAATTTTTAAATCATTTTTTGAAAATGAAGAATGCACTGATATGATAGAGAAACAGAGAGTCTTATGAACAAAAACGAGCGGTGATGATGTTTTCATTTAACATTTGACATAGGTATCACATCAATATGATATTTGTAGCAATGTTACAGCAACGTCATGGCGACTGCTAAGTTACCGACTGTGCACTGACCAACCAAGGATTTGTTTATCGGAGACGAATGACGTGGCCGTGACGCGATGACACACGCCCAGGCAGGTCGTCCATTGTAAGCACTCGATCTTATTTCTCTTGCAGGACACACATTAGATGCAGCTGACCTGTTCTGTCCTGAAATGGGTACGGGGTGGAAGTCCATGGAATGGGCAATGGTGATGTCGACACCATTGAAACAGCGCCCTTGTTATACATGTATCTGAGATTCAGTATCTTACATGCCGGCTTAGACTTAATAATCCTGACCATGGCAGGCAGCCTGTCCACAACTTATAAGGCACAACATTCTATACAACATACAATGAAAGCTGCCTGTTACATTGTCAGTGAAAGGGTAAATTCTTTCTTTCTTTGTTACGAACGCCTCCGTGGTCTACTGGTAGAGCGTCCGTCCGGAGAGCGGAAGGCCCGGGCTTCGATCCCTGGCCACGTCGTACCAAAAGACGTTAAAATATGGTACTTGTTGTTACCCTGCCTGCCGCTCGACATTAAGGGGCAAAGCAAAGAACGGTCGGCTCGGAGTCAGTATACTTTGTCTGAGTGGGGAATTCATGTTAAACTACGGCATGGTATCTCAGTGGGCAAGCACTATAAACTCGGCATTAGTCCGTACCAGTGCAAGCAACCAAACACGTGTTATTGATGGTAGCTGACCTTCACCTTGGACTTTTCCTCTGTACCGATAACTGAGATGACTACAATCACCAAGTGTGCTCTCCACGTACGCTTCCTCGTATAAATATATTTTCCTACCTCACACAAATCTGGCTTTGCGTTTCTTTTTTTGAAGGCATATGACTTTCAAACATTAGGGGAAATTATATGTACACTCAGATATTTCTCATGTATTTATGATTATTTTTGCCTTTTCAATTACTGTAAACTTACATCTTCAGTGTGGATATAGTTGTTTTCACCTTGTTTAGAAACACACGTTGGTTAAGAGCCTACGATTATTGTATTCCCTGGCTGTCAAGGAGAGATTGGCCTCTCTCGGGTCAGTGCCCTGTATATATTAACGTTTCAAGATTCTGTGACTCAAATCCCAGGATTAGGCCGTTTTAAGGATCAGTTTGCTATTGGGTGGTCGCTTCGAAACTCAGATTTTCTTAGTGAGTGATTACGGGTCACTTTTGATTCAGTACTGACTTACTCTGGTTGTATTGAACTACACGTAGTAACTGGGGTATCCAATACTCCGTTTTTCTAGTGCTCCGTTGATAACCACCCTTCTCGTGATTGTCGGGCTTTTGGGGAATTTCAGTATTTCCTTGATCAGTCAAAATGACTGAATCTTTAGCCTATTAGTTTGATATTCAGACGTTCTCGTCTATTTTATTGTCCAAGTGACCTATTTAAGGGATAGGCCATCTGTGTTTATTTCCCCTTATCTCACACAGCCGAAGGTTATTCTCTCGTTAGTGTGTTCAGTTAATTAACTCAGGTGTTAATTGGTCGCAGCAGACTTAATTGGCTATCTACGCATCTTATCTGGTAGATGGTCTTTCAATCTGATGATCAGGTTGTCGATCTCGCGATACACTCGCTTGCGGCTGGGTGGTGCTGCTCCAAAATTGACCTGGACGAGTGTACACCCTATCCCCATTGAAGTCTCCACTGTGGTTATTCCTGGGGACGAAAAGGCCCCATGTACCTAGGAATTTCATCAATACATTCATGCGCGGCATTCTCTGCCTAAAGAAGATCATATAGTTAACATGCTAATCCAACTCGAACTACCATCCCGCTCAAGATGAATGTTTTATGTAACATCCAACAGGCCCACATTTACGCACGCACGCACGCAAGCACGCACGCACGCACGCGCACACACATATTTGGATTTACCAATCCCTGAATTGGGAAGACGTGCGTTACGAAGCTCCTCCAAGTCATCATCAATATCCGTATATGTCTGTGATATCATTACCCATCCAAAGCCGCATATACATTTATTGTGTTTACTTGACAACAAATGTTATAATTGGGATAACACTTTCTGAGTAAAGTACAGATTCTCGTACTTTCTTGGGTTGAGTCCCGTCCGGGATTTGAACCAACACTGTGAGTGAGGCACCCAATCGCCGGAACACAAAGTTGGCGATCTAACCCAGCCACCGAACCAAAAATGTTAGTCCAGATGACGTATACTTTGTGTACTCCTCTGACAAGAGAAAAATGGCACGGCTTCTATGACCGAAAACTTTGAACCAACAATGCCTTTAAGAAAGTGGTCAACAGTAACACACATTATATTTGGATACCACTTTCTCAGTAAACTACATATTTTTAGGGTGGAGATAATAGACGTTGATGGTTGATTATCAGTGGACAAATTAAAGCCAAAACTTAACTTATGAATGATTGGTAATTGGAAATGGACAATGGGCAAACGGGAGGCGGGGTAATCAGCGCCATGCCAGTTATCTGTTGGCTTCCCTTGTTGCGTTCCCTTCTTTGCTATCTTTTTACTTTTGTTGTTCTTACAGGTACAAATATATGTTCTCTGCCTCATAGCATTTAATAATATGCACCTGATGAAGGAGAAAGTATATATTCCGAAACGCAGTGTTCCTCCGTTGACATCCATAAATATTTTTCCTTGTGTGTATCAGTTCTTAATGCCCTTCAAAGACTCAATCTAGCTTTGTTTTTAAATGTGGTGATATTTGCATAGAATATAATATGGTCATGCCTATATACATTTCGGTCTTTGTCTACATAAGCATTTAGACATACAATTTAAAGCTAAGGACATTGCTAATTCTGCAGGCATGAAGTACACGTCATAGCAAGCTGTGATCTTTATTCATACTTTAGATATTCGTAATGGAGATCTGTAACTGAAGTTTACCGTAATCTTCCGCAACTCTCACCTCCTGACCAGTTGAACGTCTTAGTGCATTCAGATGCCATTGTAAAATTCCAGGCTGCCCCTCTTTCTGTGATGTTTTGACGGATGAAATCTATTGCGTTATAATAATCTCTGTTTGCTGATATATAATATGTACATGTTGTAAAATATTTACGATATTTTAAACGTGTAATTCGATGCATATGCAATGCAATGTGAACATAAGTGCGGATGCACGAAGGCGGTTATAGTCATAGTTATACTGCGATGGATGTTGGGGAATGGTAGGGGGGTGTATGTACATGTATGTATGTATGAAAGCACGAATACCGATACATGAGGGCGGATATAGTTATAGTTCGAAGGATGTTGGGGAATGGTGGGGGGATGGATTATGTATGAAAGCATGCGCATGGATCCATGATGGCTGACGTAGACATAATGCTGGGGAAAGAAGAATGTGATGTGTGTGTGTGTGTGTGTGTGTATGTGTGTGCGTGCGTGCGTGCGTGCGTGCGTGCGTGCGTGCGTGCGTGCATGCGTGCATGCGTTGTGATACGAGGGTTGGCGAACATGTTGTCAGATGATTGTGTGAGTAAGTTAAGTGGTTGAGGATGTGGCAGGTATGAGTATTGGTACATGTGTACATGCAGACTTGGGGTTGGGGGACTGGGTGTTCCTGTACTGAGGTTTTTTGTTTCACTCACTTATAGTGTTTTCTTTCACTCAAATACTGTTTTACGCATTTTAATGACTGAAACTGTAGTGACTCAAAGGTCATACTGGCCGGGCATTCAACATATCTACCCCAACTACATACGTAGCCATTTTTATGGTGTACAATTCTTCTTCTACCTCTCAAACACACACACACACACACACACACACACACACACACACACACGCATTAATTGTCTTCGAGAGTCAGTAAGAAACTAGAAATAACTGCCTTTGTTCTGTAAACCTCACCAAGTTTCAGCTTTCGCCTCTTCCTTTGTGGACTGAGGTTTCACATTAGTAAAATGATCTCTCTTATCTGTCTGTACCATCAACTTAACTGCCCTCACCCCCTGCAGTTTTCCCGTCCCATATTGCCAAGCAGGTGACCCACAAGGAGGAATACCGCCCTCCCTCAGTCCAGTGATACTGTGCCTAGCACAATATGTTGGGGATACGTAGCCTTGCTGTGGGCAAACATTTTGTAACAATTTGGCAAACTTTGATATGTAACCAGCAAATATTATTCAGTTTTATTTCAACAAAAACGGAACAAATCGGATCCTACTTATTTTGTGGATACCATAACAATAAATCAAGCCAATAGATCGTTTGAGCTGGCATGAATATAAAAAATAATTAGCAAGTCGATGGTCATAATTCCCTCTGTTGGTCCCACGTGAAATGTTCTTCATGAATAGAATAGATGGCTGATAGACGTTCGACCGAATAATATCATTTGCTAACTTCAACTGTTCATCTAATTTCCATGAATGTATGTTACATA